ATTGCGCCAGATCACACAGCACACACTTGCTAATTGGTGGAGAGGAGACAGAGTGATGAAGCCAATTATGGTATGGAGATGGTTTGGCCATGATGGACAGAGGCCAGTGGGCAAATTTGGCCAGGATGGGTTAAACCCCAACTTTTTTTTCGAAGGACATCCTGGGATTTTTAATGACCACAGAGAGTCAGGACCTCAGATTAACATCTTATTTGAAAGATGGTGCTCATTGAGCAGTCCCAATTAGAGGTCTGCATTAATAATAATTAATACATTTTCGAATAAAACGTGGTAGCGGTCGATAACTCTGGTGTAATTTGAACGGGAGCGGGTGGTCTAACAAAATAGCCCAGCGTTCTTGAGAGATTAGCAGAAGAGAGAGAGAGAGAGAGAACATGGTACTGTGTGTGTTTGTTTTGTGTGTGTGTGTTTGTGAATAAGGGAGAGAGCGCACATCCATCATGGTGCTGTGTGTGAATGAGAGAGAGCGCTGTGGTGCTGTGTGTAGCTTTGTTATAGGCTGTCTGGACTCTAGCATGCAGCTTGGTGTTTTTTTTTTTTTTTTTTGGAAGGCATATGAATCACTATACATTTTACATTATTCCCTGACCCAATATGTACCTGGTATGTGTATAGCTGGTCACACTTTTTTTGATGGTCCATTTGTTAAATTTAAGTTACATTGCATCTACATGCCAACCAAGTCTCATTAGATTATAAGTAGACTGCTGAATTGGGGATAAGGTTAGTGTAAGTTGACATGTACTTGCAAAGTTTCTTATTGTCAGTGGAGGAGCAGTATTAATAGATATTAAGCAGACAGTCTACTAATACTCAAATGGACCGTCAAAATAAAGTCTTACCAGAATACTGATATGATGTATGAAACAGAATCTGTAGTTGGCTAATATTTTGAGTGGATATGTTTATAAATCTGACTTTAAATGAGTCAGTGCCTCACCATCCACAAACCTTACCGCACATCACATGGGGCAAACAAAACTGACATTTTGGGCTCTATTTTGACGGTCCATGCGCAGAGCGCAAAACGCAGGGCACCAACGCTTTCAGGGCGTGTCAGGACGCGTTTTTGCTAATTTAAGGACGGGAAATCTGCCTTGCGCCAAGGCGCATGGTCTAAAAGGGTTGAGTTTATTTTATTAATGAGTTATAGGTGTGTTTTGAGAATAAACCAATTAGAATCTCATCTCCCATTCCCTTTAAGAGTCAGCTGCGTTGCGCCAAGAGCGCATTCGCTATTTACAGGGCGCAAAGTAAGTCTAAGTGGAAAAAATGAGCATTTCACAAGCAAACAGTAAACAGTTGACAGTTTTTTAACAGAAAACTGTTAAACAGAGCATCTACTGCGTGAGAATGAGAGATAATGGATCTACTTTCACTTTCGCTCTTGGATAGGGAAACCTTTACGCACAGACATCAATTAGTCTATAAATAATTAATTTCATTGTTAAGCGCAAAGATTTGTTTCAAAACTATTTATTTATATTATTTCCAAATAAAACTGCCATGCCCCATATGGTCTTAAACCTGACAGGTGGGCAAATCTAAGCTTGTTTTTAATAAAAAAAAATATATATAAATATGGATATATTAAATAATACTGCTAATAATAATAACATTATACAAAAGCAAATTGTTATAAATGAACTGAAAAAGCCTCCCAAGATGAAGAAGACATAAAAGCAGAGGTTTTTCATATTTATGTAGGCTAGAAAATAATATATTTTGTAATATTTAATCCTTTATATTTATATTCTATATCTATTCTTATTATATCCTATATATATATATCCTTAATATTCAAATTTTTTCATATGTAAAGATATTTGCCTATTGCTCTCTTGTGCGTATTAAGCACTGCGTAAGCGAGGCGCAACTCTGCGCCGGAGTTTAGACCGGGTTAGTTTTGGTCTAATGAAAAATCTAATTTAGTTTCTCAAAATAGCAACGTGTCAGCGGTCCGCCTCAGAACGCCTTCCTTTTTAGACCAGAACACCTATAGGCGCACAAATGAACGCTAATGCATTTGCTATTTAAACAGCGTAGCGCAACGCCTCAAAACGACTCTTGCGCCAAGCTGAAACTACCAAAAGATTATTGCGCCGCGCCTTGCACCACACTGCGCCGGGTGTATGATAGGGCCCTTTGTCTACAATCCTTGCACAACCTACAGTTTTATCTATTATCTCTCTCTTTTGGTAGTACCCAATTTTAACGTGAAAAAAACAGATCTAAATTTCAGGTCAGGTAGAAAACGGGGCGGGCAGCGGGAGAACAAAGGCTGAAAATACAGCGGAAGTGGTCGCATGGGGATTAAAACCTGGCGGGAGCGGGACTAAAAATACAGTCCCATACAGACAATATACTGGGGTGTTAGGACCCAAAAAGACCACAGAATAAGCACCCCCTGCTGGTCTCACTAACACCACTTCCAGCAGCAACCTAGCTTTCCCATGTGGTTTTCCTATCCAGGTACTGACCAGACGCATCCCTGCTTAGCTTCAGTGGGCAATCGTGTGAGAGTTGCAGAGAGGTAGTTGCCGGCTACCTCTGCTAGTTTATTTCTGCAGAATAGTGTTTAACGTCTGTTCTGTGTGTTCTGGCTGTAAAGTTACTATGTACAGTACAGTTTATTAGTGTCAGTAGATTGTCATTTTGGGTGAACTATCCCTTTAAGTGCTGGAGTTGTTCAAGTACTGAAGAGGTCAGTAGAAAACAGTCGTCCACCAGGGATTTTGTGTGCCTTTTGTGACAGGCAATAAACACATTGAGAGAGACAGCTGAATGTCACCCTCACACACCGCTCTGACAGCAGCCTGGAGGAAGTGATGTCATAAAGAGAGGGATGGGTTGTTTCTTTGCTTTGAAATAGAAGCCCAATGAATGTGCTGTGTTTCACACGCACCGCTCACCTGCAGTTCTCTTTAAATGTTGCTTTTTCTGCTTGATTTATGAATTCTCCCATGCGGTTATCAGTTAGTTGCAGTTGGTGGTCAGCTTCATTTATCATTGATGTGGTGGGGGTGTGCTCGGTGACGCCATTGGTTGGGGAAGTGGGATTAAATTAGCAGAATCAATGGATTTGGAATTAAAAATAACCAATGAATTACTAATACTGTGTGCTATTATCAATCTAGTGCAGCTGCTTTATACTGAAAGCCGGTGATATTGACCAGGAATCATCCCAGTGGAATATTTTTAAGCATATGTGGACGTTAAGTGGATGTTCCCAGATTGTTGCTGTGTTTAGGTGTGGTCAATAATCTTTTAAGCCAAGTCTATCTGAGTTTGACATTACAACACTGCGATTAACATGAAAGAGGAAATGAGCAGATGATCTATTGTGGTTCCACCCAGATTTGACAGGAATGACCGTAGTCAGGAAGCTTTCCGGATTTACATTACTGTGGAAATTATTTAGATTTTATAGAGGAATGAGGACAAGTTTCTCGAATTGTGGAAAGTGGTGTAAAGGGGATTTTTTTAAAATGAGTTATTTTTTTCTGTGTGGCCCTGCTTCACAATACAAGCTCTTTAATGTCCTTACACACACACAGACACACACACAGACACACACACATTCATACCATTCTCCCAAAACCGCACAATTCTGTTGATTGAAGTGAAGAATTTGAGTGGGTACATTAGAACAAAACATATGCTCCTTTTCTCTCTTTCACACACAGACTGTGGCCTGACTTTTAGGAAAGAAGTTGAATGTTTCAGCTTCTCCATTTCTCCATTACACAAAGCAAATTCATTGAAAGCCTGTTTTGACATTAAAAATAACTGTGTGGGAGATGTATGAAGTGTGTAAGGTAAGAGATGATTCAGTGAAAATGAATGACATATGAATGCTATAGGGTATTTCACAGAAACAATATTTGATTATAATATTCTATTATTTGACCCTCACATCTACTCTCTTTATTTGATTTAAAAAGAGCAGGAACTGATAGATAGTGAAGATCTTTTCAACTGTTCTCACAAGTAGGATTTTCTAATTTCACTGGATTTGCAAGGACGATTTCTAAAGTGACCTTCAAAGCTGCGGTAAAACCTGTACAAGAACACACAAAGAAACACACACATACAGTATGTGCATATAGATTACTTTTGAATTAAATTCTGCATAATTTTGGGTTTATATATAAATGCAACATAAATATAATAAATGGAGTTTGCATGTTCTCCCTGCGTTCGCATGGGTTTCCTCCGGGTACTCCGGTTTACCCCACAGTCCAAAGACATGCGGTACAGGTGAATTGGGTAGGCTAAATTGTCCGTAGTGTGTGTGTGGGTATGTGTGGATGTTTCCCAGAGATGGGTTGCGGCTGGAAGGGCATCCGCTGCGTAAAAGCTTGCTGGATAAGTTGGCGGTTCATTCCGCTGTGGCGACCCCAGAATAATAAAGGGACTAAGCCGACAAGAAAATGAATGAATGAATATAATAAATAAATGATAAATAAAATTAATTATAAATTATTACATAATATTCTAAACAAAATATTTATTATACATTAAAATGTGGTTCCTGGGTGCTCCGCTTTTCCCCATAATCCAAAGACATGGGGTATAGGTGAATTGGGTAAGCTAAATTGTCCATAGTGTATGTGTGAATGAGAATGTATGGGTGTGTCCCATGGTAAAACATATGCTGGAAAAGTTGGTGGTTCATTCCGCTGTGGGGACCCCAGACTAAAGGGACTAAGCCAAAAAGAAAATGAATGAATAAAATGTGGTGCTATTTTTTACATTTTGTATTTGTTTATTTTTTTATTATTTGTTGTTGTTGTAATTATTATAATAGTTTATATAAATTTAGAAATAAATAAACATTGGGCATATTTAATGAATGAATGAATGAATGAATGAATGAATGAATGAATGAATGTTAAGACGTAAATGGCACGTTCCTGTCAATAGGTGCCTCCCCTTGTCTTGCTCAGATGGTACAGTCCGTTTAAAGAGCCGCTCAGAGTCTCTCGTGCGTTCAACTCTCTCTACGAGCGCGCGCGGCGGCAGGAGTCGTTTAGTGAAGCACGCTGTTTTATTCTCTCCCGAGTGTCTGTGTCTCTCTGTTTATCTTTCTCCCTGACAGCCACATCTACACATTAGACAGCATGACACTTTAAAAATCCGCCCTCAGCTTGTGGATTCTGGGGGATTTCTGCGCTTATAAAAGAGAGGACACAGTCAGAATGGGATTTTTGTAAGCTTATGATGCAGCAGGCGATATGACTCGCTCCGTGGGTTCCGTGGATTCTTCCCGCAGGCGAAGATCCGGAGAATGATGGAGGAGAATAAGCAGCTCGCTCAGCGGATCGATGGCGCGATCCAGTGCGCGAAGCAGGATGTGGCGAACCTGCGCGCGGAGCTCACAGCCACCGGCCACAGACTGGCAGAACTCGGCGAGCTGGAAGAACCGGGAGAACCGCAGGAACATCAGCAGCAGCAGCAACAACAGAACCACCAGGGTAAGAATCTGCACCTGTGACCGCTTATGTCACTTACCTGTGTGACCTTCGAGTGACTGACAGAAAGTCTCTTTCTCTCTGATTTAGTGTAATGAGACTCTGTTTTCACTTCCATCATTAACAAATAGAGTTCTTCAGGACACTTTTGAGAGAATAAGTGTTTTAGTAAAATGATTGTTCACTGAAAAATGAAAAAAATACTGTCAGTTTGCTCAGCCTCTGGCTACTTCAAGATGTAGGTGACATTTTTGTTGAGGAAAACCTTTTTTTTTAAAAGAAGATTTTTATTTTCTCACTTAAACCATGTTCCTTGGTGGTTTTGGTACACATTTAGAATATAAAAAAACACATACAGTTAAAATATAATTAATACTCAAAGATTCCTGATGATACATTGAGCTGTTATCAAGATTGTGGTAAAGTTGGTTTTTATATTCACACATTTAGACTTTCTCCTTACTAATATAATTTCAGAAATGTATTCTTTGTAAATTATAAATAGTGAAATCATGTAAGCATTATGATGACTATCAAAGTACTACGTTGTTCACGGTCAAATAAATAGGGTTAATGTTGTTTTGAAGTCATACTTACATGTGATTTCAAGTTAAATATTCAAAGTACCACGATCAACAATATACAGGGAGCATGTCACTGAATGAATGTGCGAATATAAAATCAACTTTACCTTAGTCTTATTAGGGATCCTAGCAAAAACGAAACTTAACACTACTTGTTAATATTATTATTGTATTATTATTGTATTGCTGCATGTAGCCATTGTCTTGCATTCTACAAATCACCACCGTTTCAGCTGAGCATCTTAAAACATTTTACTGAAGGAAAAAGTCAAATATTTAGGATAGCTTGAGATTGAGAAATTGATTGCAAATGTATTTCTTGGGTGAACTATTCTCTCAAGAAAGAGTGTTTATGGTCATCAACATGTTTCAGATGTTATTAGAGGAAATGTTTACCCTGTGTTGATGGCATAACAGCCAACCACAGTTGATGCAGTCGAATTTGATTACTACAATGTCAAAACCTTAAATAATTATTATGAACTGTTACATAACTGTCATAGTTGTCACCATTCCTAGAAAATTTTTGTGGCACATTAGATCTTTCTTCTACTTGAACAAGACTTTATCCACAAGGAGGCTGTTTTACTGTGAACCCACGTAATGTAATCGAGCGTGGCTCTTGTTTCAGGAAATGGCCCTTCATTTCATTTTCTATTAATGCTGTCAGGCTAAGTGTACCACACTACAGATGAGAGAGTATATAAGGCTGTCCTGCCTTTCTGTATGTGCTGTTGTTGTGGCCATTCATTGATTGATTGTTCAGTCTTCTGTCTAATCTGTGTGGCGTAGCTTTGGTTTTGAGTCTCTTGGGAGTTCAGAGCGAATCTCTGTTTGAGATCCACCTGCGCTCACTTTGTGGAGTAGACACCCTGGGCTGGTGTGGGTCGTAACATTTAACAGATGCTTTTTATCTGAAGCAAACCTACTGTACCCTGTGGTTGTGTGCCTCGCTTAAGGGCATGATAATGATGAATCTGGACTGAGATTTCCATAATTACTCCACAATTTCTAAAAATTGCTGATGCACTGAATGTGCCTAAAGTGACAGTGCGGCTTTGTTTCGCTGTGCAAACACACAGCCATCAATGGACACTTTTGTTCTACTAAAAGCAAGGTTTGATTTGTTTGGGTATGCTTTGATGAACATGCAGTACATTGAGCTATACAGATTGTTTTTACTAAATAATTTAAATAAAAACAAACTCTTCTATAAATTAAAAGGATATTTTTATTCACCACATACAGTGAAAAACTCTGAATGGTTTAATAGCATATGGAATTTATTCCGTAATTTGCTACAACGTGTATGTTTATTGGTTAGTGAATACTGTATTGATATTTTCAAAGCAGTTGAAAGACATTACCAGAATCTTCTGCATGACAGATCACATATTATATTTTAAATTTTTCATATACTATTTATTTAGTAATGATAAAAATAATTATTTTAGCTCCCATATTGTAATGCCAGAAAAATAAACAATTGCTTTGATGATAATTGGTATCTCTGGATTTTCTGGATTTATTAGGCATGAGTTTTATATAGGCATAAGTATTAATGCTTATTTTATTGTAAAAAGGTTTATAAACATTGCTACCATATTTCAAATTTAAAAAATGTCATTTAGTAGGGATGCACCGAAAAGAAAATTCTTGGCCTAAACCGAACAAGAGAAAACCAAGGCCAAAACACCGAAATAGATTATGGCAATTATTTGTACTATTGCATTTATGGCTATGACTGTCTACTAATCTTACTAAAACCAAGTCATCACAATTGCGTAAAATATTATTGAAGTTTCAAAGAATAAATCAATTACAAATTATGAAAATATTTATTTAGCACATTGCAACAATGGGTTATCACTTCTGGGGATGAGGACATCAGAGTGATAACCATCCAGTTATTGAGTGGTTACGGTTGTCGTCTCACTGATATTTGAGAAAGTTTTGTGGGACTATTTAAATAGTTCCAGTGAGCAAGTTAACATTTTTGTCAAAGAAAAAATATCTAGCAGAAATATGGCTACTAATCTCATAGTCAAAACAGAATAGCCTATACCTATTATATTTTAAGGCAGAAAACCAAAAGGCCCACTTGGGCCATTTTTGGCAGAAATGTTTTGGTGGCTGAAATGAATATTAAATTTATGCCTATCATTTAGAGCTTTTTTTTCTCCAAAATATGACTTTTGTTCAGACAGAATAAAAAATGTTTTCATTTGTTGTGACTGGAAATTAGTATTACGTATTACTGTCTAAAATAGGGCTGCATGATATTGGAAAAGTCAAATAATTGAAAAATAAATATTGCGATAAGAATACAGTTCGACATGAAAGTTTGAATAGAAATATTTGATAGTTTTCAAATATGAGAGCCTAACAGTATTCAGGTACAAACATTGAATAATCACAATGGGAAAAAATACTTTTCTTATTTTGTTTTGTCTTGTTTCTAATCTAAATATCAAAATATCTTGGAGCAAGTAAAATATTGTTTCGTAATCAACTTCAGAAGAATAAGTCAAAATTTAGAGTTAAAACAAGCAAAAAATTTTTGCCACTGGTGTTAGCAAAATAATCTTGTTTTAACTTTGAAGTGCAGATAATTGGACTAGAAACAAGACAAATTTCTAAGAAAGAATTTTTAATTTTAAATCATAGAAATTCTTTATACATACAGTAAAACAATTCTGTAGCTCCTGGTCAACTATAATTCAGACTCATTTGCATAACCTGTGATGTGACTATTGCAGATGTGCACATTGCAATATCGATGATGAACTGATATATTGTGCAGCCCTAGTCTGAAAACATGACAGATTTTCATTTCATACAAAAAACAAACAAACTAATCTTTATTTTAATAGCAATATTTTTGTTTTTATTTTGAAAGAAATTCCATTGAGTAAAGCAAGCAAACAAACAGAATAAACAAAATTAGTTTTACTCAAACTCATATCATTTACTCAAACTATAAATTGTAAATTTAGTGAAAAGGTGACTTTTTACTGTAAATGAAGCAGAATACATTTTTACATAATTTTTTTAACCGTATTTCAAAAAAACGTCGGTCGTAATGAGGTCAGATAAGTTGTATAATAATCATTTTTAATTTGTCCAATTATTAGTCAGTTTACATGCAGTATTTATTTAATAAGCAATCGTAAAGCAAGTGGAATAATGTAGCCACAGTTTATTGCAAAACAAATTCCTTCTAAATATTCATGATATTGACTAGCTGTACACTTTGAATACCCATATGATTCTACTATGAAATGACTTTAAAGCATATAAAATGCTTGTATTCCGCAGTAGAAGCTCGTCTCATGTCCACAGATGAATTCTAACACTCGGAGGATCACCATGAGGCTCTTGCCTGCAGCTCTCTCTGATTTCATTCAGCACTTCATTGAGAGCTCAGCAGATTGTGATCTTGTGTCTAATGCCCCACATCCACTCCAGGAGAGGCACTTTTCTGCCTTGGGCTTGGTTTGTTTGTGCTCGTCAAAGACGAATAGAGGTTTTCTATTTCCTAAAATGATGACAATTATATATTTTTTCTATCACACTTTACAAAAGAAACCCATTAAAATGTCATTCAGTGTAACAGTATAATAGCAAAAAAAAAATCTTGTCATGCAATTTTAGACAGAGTCAGCTAATGCCGTGTTAAAAGAATCACAGTACAGCTATACTCATTAATTGTCATTTTAAGTCTGCATACTTTACCTATTTAAGGATTACAGTGCAGCTGTAATATAATCGTTAATTGTCATTAAGTCTTTATACTTTACCACTGTCTTTTAAGGATTGCAGTACAGCTCTAATAAACTCTTTAATTGTCATTAAGTCTTTATACTTTACAGCTATCTTTAAAGATTGCAGTGCAGCTCTAATATACATATTAATTGTTAATTTAAGTCTTTATACTTTGCCGCTATCCTTAAGGATCGCACTGCAGCGCTAAAATACTTATTAATTGTCAATTTAAGTCTTTATATATTACCGCTATCTTTATTGATTGCAGTTCAGCTCTAATATACTCATTAATTCTCATTTTAGGTCTTTATATTTTTCAGCTATCTTTAAGGATTGCACTGCAGCTCTAATATGCTCATTAATTCTAATTTTAAGTCTTTATTTTAAGTCTTTAAGTATTTATACTTTACAGCTATCATTAAGAATCACTGTGCAATTCGAAGATACTCATTAATTGTCATTTTAAGTCTTCAAACTTTACCACTGTATTCCTTACCACTAGATTTTTACATTTTTGCCACCAATACTGAATATTTTTAATAAATGAAAACATATTTAAATATAGTACAGGTCAGAATAGGTATCCATACTTGTCAACCTTCTTGTTTTTGTGTATTTTACCTTTCTTTCCTGCTCTTATCTCGTTTAAGTATT